AAAAAAAAAAAAAAAAAAACTTGCACCAGAGGGTAGGACAAAAAGCCTTACTCCCTACCTCATCTTAGGATAGCATAACTTGATACTAAAACTTAGGATGATACAAGAAAGGAAAATTACAAACCACTCTCATTTATGAGAAAACATACAAATACCAAGTTTGGCCTATCTCAGGAATGCAAGGTGGTTTTAACACTAAATATTTTAATCAGTGAAATGTGCTACATTAAACAGATTAAAAGAAAAAACTTATGACCATTTAAAAAAAATGCAAGACAAGTTCTCAACAAAATTCAACATTTACTTATGATTAAAAAGCAAACAAAACCTCTAAGAAAATCAAGACTAGAAGGATACTTCCATAATCTGTTAAAGGATACTTCTAAAAAATTCTATGTAAATAACATGAAATTGGTCTGAGATTAAGAACAAAAGAAGAATGTCTGAGCTTACCAGTTCTAGTGAATATTAGCTGGTGTAATAAAGTAAGGTTAAAAGGTTTAAGAATTAGAAAAGAAAAAAAAGCTACCATTTGCAAATGTTACGGTTACATATGCAGAAAACTCAAAAGAACCTATACATAAACGATAAGAATCAATAAGAAGGTTGCTAGATATGTTATCAGCACATAAAAATCAATCACATTTCCATATACAAACAATATAAAGCTAAACAATGAAATAAAACACCACATAGATGCCCCCATAATTAAAATGTTTTAAGGATAAAATTCTATCTTATTTTTACAACTACGTAAAAAAATTAATCAACAAAAACTTTGAAATGTAGCAATCTAATGACCATAGCAAAATATCAAAAAAAATCTTACAGATCTCTGAATATACGCAAACAAGCCTACTTTCATGTGTGAACCCCATCCAGTACATCTGCTACCATAAAGTCATTGAGACTCTGAGTAGAGCTCGCTGCAATCAAGACAAAAAAGCTAAAACCAGCTGTCAAAAATAACATGACAGGGGCGCCTGGGTGGCTCAGTCGGTTGAGCATCCAACTTAGGCTCAGGTCATGATCTCGCCGTGAATTCAAGCCCCATGTCGGGCTCTTTGCTGACAGCTCAGAGCCTGGAGCCTGCTTCGGATTCTGTGTCTCCCTCTGTCTCTGCCCCTCCCCTACTCCCGCTCTCTCTCTTTCTCAAAAACACAAATTAAAAAAATAAATAAATAACATGACATGGCCA